TGTTGAGACTATCCCCCCCGTTGGTGCTGCTGCTTCCTCTGCTGCTCCTCGGTATCCCCAAGTTGATCTAGCGCGTGAACGGTAAGCCACTATTTTTTGGATTTTTCCCACTTTTTCTTTTTCTTTATTTACATGTGTATTATTTTTTGGTTTGTTTTCTTTTTTTTCATTACTGTTTTTGTTTTGTTTTTTCCCGGTGGCTGCCTGGCTGGGGCATAGGATTGGCACGGGGCACCACATCCACTCCAGCCTAAGTGGAGAGCGACAAGAAGCGGTGTCTGGCCGTGGCTTCACTACTAGTCGCGTCCTCCACTTCCTTCTTACGTGGCACCAAAACAAACAAGCCTCTCTTCCCCAACCCTCTTCTCATTTCCTCTTCTACTTCCTCTTGCTTTCCTGTTTTCCTCTTTTCCTTTCCCTTTTTCCTATTTCTTCCCACCCCATCCATTGCATTCCCACCCACTTGTGGTCCCAGCTTAAGCTTCCCCTTCCCACATACCACCCTCCCATCAAAAGTATTAAGTCCTGTTCCACCCAATCATCACACGTTCCCCTCAATCATACCCCAACCCTACTATACATCACATCCCCTTGCCTGCTTGTGTGCTTGCGTGCTTGCTGTTTGTCTACCTACCTATTACCCCATTGGACCTCCACCCGCCCTTCATACATGACTATTGCATTAGTTCCTCTTCTCTGACGCACCCATAGTTATCGTGAACCGTCGGTCCGTTTCCAAGACCGTCAACCCACCTACGATCAGGCTCTCCAGAACCAGCTTGACATCACTGAGCGCGAGTATCGTCGTCGGGTTAATAATCCTACCTACGACGTTCCTGCCTCTTCGTACGACCGCCGCTCTCAAGCTTCGGTAGATTCCTTCTCTGGTCCTCGCCAGCAGTCTAGGGACGTTTCGTACGACCGCCAGTTCAAGCAGTCCGAGTTTGACGTCTCGTACGACCGTGCTTACCAGTCTAAGCCTGTCGACTCCTACCCCCGCGACCCCTACAGCCGCCGTCAACAGAACGTTGAGCCGGTTCCCGAGTCTCCTAGCGGCTCGAACTCTGTGAAGGTTCTCAAGACCAAGACTGTCATTGATTCCCCTCCTTCTCGCAAGATGGGTTACTACGACGACGACGGTAACTATCACTCCTTCCGTCGTGGTGTGGAGCGCGCTGCCGACCGCATCATGCACCCTCACGGTCACCACGACCGCCAGGACGTAGTCGTCGCTGACGAAGGCGGTCCAGTTCGTTTCCGTGAAGGCGTCCGCGAGGATGTCCGTATCGTTGAGCCCCGTGCCGGTGGCAGCTCCTCGACCGCCGAGACCGTGCCGATTCCCTGCCACTTCATCCGCATCGGCGATATCCTGATCCTTCAGGGCCGTCCCTGCCAGGTGATCCGCATCTCGGTCTCCCCCCAGACCGGCCAGCACCGCTACCTGGGTGTCGACTTGTTCACCCGTGAACTCCAGGAGGAGTCCAGCTTCGTCTCCAACCCCTCTCCTTCCGTCGTGGTCCAGACCATGCTCGGCCCTGTCTACAAGACCTACCGCATCCTGGACCTCCGTGATGACGGCCGCCTGGTCGCCATGACCGAGACCGGTGATGTCAAGCAGGGTCTGCCCGTGGTGCCCCAGGGTCACCTGTTCCGCCGCATCCGCGAGGCCTTCGAGGATGGCCGTGGCAGCGTCCGCGCCCTGGTCATCAACGATGGTGGTCGCGAGCTGGTCGTCGACTACAAGGTGGTCCACGCTTCCCGCCTGTAAGCCCACAACATCCACCTTCCCCATTCGGTTTAGCTCCCGTGTTGTACCCGCTGGTTTGTTCCGCCGGGTATGATCCACGGGATACCTTCCCGAATAAGGTTGCCGGGCAACTGGGTGAGAAACTTTTCTCGACGATCCTTATGACATGACCTGACCTCGAGCTTTTTGTATCTGATGGATTATGCAATGATGGAATGGCCTCTTGAAAATGATGTATTGGCATGGCCTTGTTGTACTTAGGATAATGGATGTAGCTTATGCTGTTTTGTATACCTGATTTGTAGTAAGCTTAAGTAGTTGACACATTCCGCTGCAGTGTAGATTCTGTCACATACATTCCAGGACAGAATGTAACTTCCACTGATACTCTACCAGCAGATGTCATTTTACTCTTTCACGATGACACTGTAATCCCATTTATCCTCTGTCTCCAATCCCATGATGCCAAATTACACCCCGGTCACTCTATGCACCCTCCTGCACTTTATGTATTGTACATTCTCACAATTACATAGCAATTGCAAATAACAGCGCAAATTATTCATTACCACTAATACTACTCCATAGATATGTTGATAAACTGGTTGTACCGCTATCCCTACCGGTTCAGTCGGGTTAGACATATATAGATAGATATATATATTCCTGCGTTGGATATTATCAGTCAGTATATAACCAACGACGATTTGACGTTAATCTTGGTTTACAGAATGAGAGGTACCAAGTAATACTGATTCTGTATGTCTTTACTGTGCACAGGTCGTTCGTCCATCTGGTTATGCCGTGATTGATGATGGATGTCGAATGATTGATTGACTGACATACTCTGGCTTAGCACGGTAGGTTAGAATATGCAAGCGTCTTGTTACGTGAGTAACTTCCTGTAGTCATTTCTCTGCTCGCCTCGGTCTAAGAATAGCATGTGTCTTGTGGAAGTCGTGTGGTTTTTGTTAGTAGCTTACGCGCCCTGGGATGCTACAGTGGCTTGTAAGTTCTATCAAGACGAGTATGTGTCTGTTATGGTTATTGGAAAACTTTTATACGAGCAAATTCACGGGGATGACTAGTATAGTGCTAGTATATTTTGTGTAGGGGCAGGTATTTATATTAGGTAGAGTGCAAAGAAGTAGGTCACGGACATCATGTGTGGATATATATATCCCGATCATACGACGTCATTGTATCTCATTGAGACATCCACTTATTTTGTAATATATCATGAATAAACCACTTTAATATGCCCAAGAGAACTAATCCTACTGGCCACGACCTGTCCCTGAAGAATCTTAATCTAAATTAGCTCGCTGCTCCTTCGATGGCGTCTGCAACCACCCGTGCGGAGCTTAAACCTGTCTGGGTAAACATCTCGTCATACTACTATACCCCTCGTTCAAGCAACAGCATATTTATTGCCCACAATTCACCTCTAAATCTTATCAATCAATTATCCAACTCAAAATGCGCATCTCTATCATCCCGCTACTACCATTTCTCGTAGCCAGCCATGTCAACGGCCTGGCCCATGATACCGGAGTATACGGACCCTCGCTGGAGCTAGTCCACCAATACTATGACCAGTTTCCCACCGGCATCGCTGTATCCTCCACGGGGCGCATGTTCTCCTGCTACCCTCTTGGCCTGGACGCCAACAACACCCGCTACCAGGTAGCTGAACTTACGGACTCGACGACCGAAGTGCCGTATCCTTCTGCGGAGTTTAATTATCCTCCTGGTGGGGCTGTTAATTACTCTACTTCTCCGGCAGTTAGTCTCCTCCCTACCAGTAATACTACATGTCTGTCTAATATTGATATGTCCTAGACAACAGTCAACTACGCAGACCATCTCATCAGCGTCCAAAGCGTAGTGGTCGACGCCAAAGACCGTCTCTGGATCCTTGACACTGGCCGCGCTACCACGGCAAACAATACCCTTTTGTTATCTTCATATGGTGGGCCAAAATTAGTTGGAGTTGACCTGGCTACGAATAAAGTGTTCAGGACGATTCTCTTCCCCAGGGATGCAGTCTACGCAGACTCTGTATGCCCCTCATCCATCATCCAGCATAGTCATCACTACATATCTAACCAAAGAATGAATAATAGTACCCTAACGACGTTCGCTTCGACCTCCGCCCCCCCCTTTCCAACACCTCCAGCGAAGGTATCGCCTACCTAACTGACTCCAGCCCGGAAGGCCGCAACGGGCTGATCGTAGTTGATCTCGGCACCGGAAAGGCCTGGCGGCAGCTGGACGGGCTATCTATAACGAAAGCAGAGCCCGACTTCCGCGCATTCATCTGGGGCGACGTGGTCGATGTCTCCACCGGTACTGACGGAATTGCGCTCTCCGCTGATGGCGAAACGCTCTACTTTGGGGTTGTTAGTGGACGGGACATTTACTCTGTACCTACTGCTGTCTTGCGAGATATTTCCTCTGAAGGACGGGCAAAGGCTGTGAAGAGCGTGACCAAGATAGTTCAAAAGGGAGTCAGTGATGGGTATGAGACCGACTCAGCGGGACGGATATATGTGGGGAGCTTCGAGTCAAATGCGATTAATGTGGTATATCCTGGGAATGGCAGCGTGGAGACATTTGCGAGGGATCCGAGGATGGGGTGGACGGATACGATGAGTGTGGTTAGTTTTGGGGGGAATGGGACTGGGGAGAGGGGATACTTGTATTTCACGGAGAATCAGCTGTGGAGACAGGAGAGGGAGAGGCCGTTTGCGCTGTTCCGGGTGGAGTTGCCGGGTGGTGCTGGGAAGGTGGTTCTGTAGGTATGTAGTTCGGTAGGTCAATATTATGCTATGAATACTCGGTTTCTGGAGAAATAAGTCCGGAGTAGCTGGATAGAATGGAAAATCTCATGGAAACTTGTGTATGAAGTAGATACTCGGTTTCTGGGCCATAAGTCCGGAGAGTATGCAATGGGGGATATTATGATAATAGTGTGTGAAGGTATTCAGCCATGGAGATAGGGATGGTATCTGCGGCTTCCAAAACCCTAAGTCCGGAAATCCGCGGAGACAGTTATCACCGAGTGCAACTACTATACTCACCTCTAATATAAGATACTATACAAGCAAAACTCGCATATCCTCAAACTATAAAAGGTCTAAAAGAGCCACTTCATACTATACTTCAATCACTCACATTTCCACCATCCTCATACACACTCACCACTCAACTACAAATCCACCACCTCTTATACTAAGAGTATACAACAACAATGTCCTCATCAACCACCACCACCACTCCCCCATCACCAACCAAAAAATCACCCCTCTCCCACCACCGCCACCTCTCCCCCACCTCCTCCATCCGCATCTCCCCCCTCCAACTCGGCGGCATGTCCCTGGGCACAACCTGGAGCGACCGTCTCGGCGCAGTCCCCAAATCCACCGCCTTCACCCTCCTCGACAGATTCTACGCCCTAGGCGGCAACTTCATCGACACCGCAAACGCCTACCAAGCAGGGCAATCGGAGGAATGGATCGGCGAATGGATGGCGACACGCTCTCCAACCCGTCGCTCGGAAATGGTCATCGCAACGAAATACACCCTCTCCCCTATTCCCCCCAACCATACTCCCCAAATCCAACAAAGCAACTTCGGCGGCAACGGCACCAAATCCATGCGCGTCTCAATCGACGACTCCCTCCGCAGACTTCAAACCACCTACATCGATGTGTTCTACGTGCACGCGTGGGATTACTCCACGAACGTGGAGGAGTTGATGCAATCGCTCAACCATCTCGTCGCGCAGGGGAAGGTACTCTACCTGGGGATTAGTGATGCGCCGGCGTGGGTGGTCAGCAAGGCGAATATGTATGCGAGGGTGCATGGACTCCGCGGGTTCAGTGTTTATCAGGGTAGGTATGGGGCTACGTGTAGGGATTTGGAGAGGGAGGTTATTCCGTTGTGTAGGGATGAGGGGATGGGGGTTTGTGTTTGGGGGGTTTTGGGGAATGGTTAGTATTTCCTCTATTCAGTCCCTTTGGGTTTGGGTTTGGGTTTGCTAATTGTATGATATGATTTGGATACTAGGATACATTCGCCCCCCCAACAACGACTCTGCTCCGAAGAGAGTTCGAAACTTCTCCCACCTACTCACCGGCCACGAAGAACAGGTCTCGTTGGTGTTGGATACCGTTGCGAAGCGTCATGGAGAGGGAGTTTCGGTGACTAGCGTGGCTATTGCCTACGTGTTGCAGAAAACACCCTACCTTTTCCCCATTATCGGCGGGCGAACGGTCGAACAGCTCGAGGAGAATGTGCAGGCGTTGGGTTTGGAACTTACTGCGGAAGACGTCAAGGATATTGATGCTGCGTATCCATTTGATTTGGGGTTCCCGCATAGTTTTCTCTGTCCTGGGGGGTATCGTGATGGTGGGGGGTGTCCGGGACCTCAGGATGTGGCGTTTTCGAGGACGATGGGGGAGTTTGATTATGTTGAGGGGGGGAGGGCGATTAGGGCTGTTAAGGGGTGAATGAATACTATATTAGGATGTTGGGGGGATGGGGATGGAGGCTTGGGTTGTGTGTATGTGGTTGATAATGGGGAATGAACTCATTTATAGTTGGAGTGCGGCTTGGTTGTTTCCTTAGGCATGTTGTTGTTTCTTATGTATTTTCTCAGGGATTAGCAGAATGGTATTATACTATCCACAGCAATGAACATTAACCGTATGTGAAATGAAGCCATATGCAAAACCATAACAGGTGATCTAGTTGATCAGCTAAGCAGACTGTAACCAGCCAGCACATGGCATAACGCACGCCTGAACTCCAACCGACATCAAACATATCCAATTCACGCCTCAACCAAGCAAATCGACTAGATGAGCAGGGTACTTCCATAAGACTCGTAACGCCGACTGTCCTCAAGATGCTCCAGAAGCCATAATATACATGTCCACACTTTCAGAAGAGACGAACCGGGTATCGTGCGTAGCAAAAACTCCGAGCCAGCAGTTGCCGAAGAAGAAACGGATCTGCCTGTAGCTCCGTCACCGTTCCCCAAACTTGCCATACTCCTGCTGCCACTTCAAGAGATGACGAGTCAACACATCCATCATCTCCACGCTGCTGAGGTCCTTGAAATCCTTCTCTGCAGTGGGTTGCGCCATTGAACCGCCTTCCAGGCCGGCGCTCTCGATAGCACTGGAGAGGAGTTGATTCTCGCTCAGAAGTCGGGTGATCCCGTTCGGCCGGTCATCATTACCCGGCGGGGTGGTGCTCTCCCCCGCGACAGCCATTTCCACCTGCATACGTGAAATGAACTCCAAGATCGCCGTCACCCGTCGCTTCATCTCGTTCATGGTAGTTCGTTGGTTCACGTAGCGGGGCCGGCTGGGCTTGCCCGATTCACTGCTGTTGATGTGTGTCCCGTTGACACCCACCCGCGGCGAATCCCCTCCTAGATCATGCGACTGTCCACGCCGCGGCGACCGTGTTGTTGAGTCGGTGCCGTTGGTGTCACGATCGCGAGTATATTGATTCCGTCCGATGCGACCGCCACGGCGTGCAGGCGGGCGGCCGGATTTACGAGTGGACGGACGCGAAGGTGCAGCTTCCTGGGCAGGGGCCGGCGTTTCCTCCGGACTGGGCTGCTTCGGTTCGGGTTCGTTCGCATTAGGCTTGGTTGGGGATCCTTCTTCATGGTCGGACTCGGCGTCTTTGACAGTTAGCCTAATGATATGATTTGACAATAAGCAGCATCACTCACCATCGCCCTTCTGTCGCTCCGAACGGCTTTTCCTACGAGGTGGAGCCTCTGGCTGCTCCGCTTCAGGTTCTTCAGGTTCTTTGGTTTCCTTATCACGCTGGCTGCGTGAAGCAGCTCTCTGCCGCCGGACGCCATTGGTGGCAGGTTTCTTCGACTCATCCTCCGAGACAGGCTGTGAAGCAGGGTTACTTTTCGAAACGGCACCCGGCGAGGGAGAGCTCGTGCGCTGTCGCTTAGTCGCTTGTTTTTGCCTATTGTCGTGTTAGCGTGATCACCAGTACGACCAACGAGCAATGTTCAACGTACGCTTCACTGTCGCTGCGACTTCTCTTGGGCCTCCGGGCCGCAATATCATCACCAGCTGGTTTGTTATCCTCCTTGCTCTCTTCGATGGCCCGCCGCAGCTGCTCTTCTTCATCATAAGCGGCATCACGGCTATTCATCGTTGACCGTCTCTTAGGATTGGTAGGATCATTGTGTCGTGGTTTCGGTTCCTTGGCGCGTCTGGATGTTTCCCGCGACGATTCTCGCGACGAGGGAGCAGTAGAAGGGGGAGGAGCGACAGGAAGGTACTGAGACGAATATGATCTGCGAGATCGTAAGCGAATATGCCACATGATGAGAAATAGCAAATAACCAGAGACGACAACACAAGCGACCGGCTTGAAAATTCAACTCTGGCAGCAGGTACCGAGTGAGAACGAAGGAAAAGGATCAGCTTACCCATTTGTTTCGCTGATGATTTTATGGAGGTCTTTGCGACACTCTTCACAAAAGTACTCATCGGGGCTCATAGCCTCGTCCATAATCCCCACACAGCCACCATGCTGCCAGACTTTGCACGAATCACATTGGATGAACATGCTCCCGATCTCGTCTGGCAACAAGTCTGATGCGTCTGCGGTAAGATTGAATGCCTCATCTTTAATACCGGTACGCAAACCATTGCGCCGACTTAGGTCACGTCGAGAAGGAGGCAGACCCGGGTACTCCTGTTGTCCACAGAGACACCGGGTAATCTCTTCCTCTTCGTCCTCTTCTTCCCCGTCATCGTCGTCACCATCCTCAAGTCTCATATGGTGATCATTATCCTCCTCCCCCCGAGCACGCTGTCGCTGGCGTGTTTCTCGAAAGTCACTTTTCGAGCCTGTGTCGGCATCGTCGATCGACTGGGACCGATTGGTGGAGGAACGCTGAGGGGAGGAGATTTTATGATTCGACCGGGTGCTTCTTTCGCGAGCCATGGAATTGGAGGAGCTGGAGGAGTTTGTATGCTGAAGAATAGCTGGAGAGGGCTGGTTGCGTGCACGAGAGGAACGACGAGGCGTCATAATGGAGGGAAGTTATTAGCGGGGGAGAGGGCAGAGCGACCGAACTCTGACAATAAAACGGTCGTAAGGTATGGAGGGGAGGGAGGAAAAATAGGATATGGGTTCAGAAAGAGAGTGGACAACGTCAAGGAGAAGAAACCTGCCCGTGAGCGAGCTGTCGCACACGGGTGGAGAGCTGAGGGAGTCGACCACGCCTCAGACAAGTGGTTAAGGATGACAAGAGATGCAGCAGAGGGAAAAAAGCCGGCAAGTCAAGGACAGAGGAATGCCAATTGGAACCAAAGGGTAAAAGACATCCAAGAACTGCGCCTGCGAGCTTGAACGAAGACCGAGGACTACATAGTCTGTGAAATTGCAGGAAAAGGGTTGGTGGGGAGGAGAAAAAGGAAGAGGAGGAGCGAGAAAGAGGGAAACGGACCCAGAATGAGAGCGTGAGTGACGGCCGGCCGCCGGAACGGGTTTTGAGCTGCGCGCCTTTGCGGTCAACGCGCATTGGCCGTTTCCCCGCTCTATTTCTCTCTCTTTCTCCCCTCTCTGTCTCTGCGCGCGCGCTGTTCTTATCGACCTTCACTCTTTCCGCAAGACTTATTGACGATACTTATGGGGTGACCCGTGTCTCACTAATGTGTACTCTAGTGAAGCCGTCCTCTCCTTTCTCCTCCGCCAATAATGTCGATCGGTGATAAAGCCGAGCGGAATGCGATGATGACATTCATGCCAATACTGTCCTCCAAACCCCGCTCACCTCTCTGCGTTGCTTTGTGGCCAGTAACCCGGGATCATCGTCTTCCGTTTCGATATACATCTCTCTTTCATTCTATCTGAATCGTTGCCCCATTTCGACTGACGATGGCCCAAGCGACTGCTAGTACCCATCGCCACGGACATTACTGGGACAAGATCGGAAATTTGAGACCTTGCTGACTAACCCACACTGTGGCAGACTCGTGAGTCCACCATGGCGCCTACTATCATCCTTCATCTTCGTGTCGGTTAGAAAGGTTCTGGTTGATCCAGCTCAGCGATAGCGATTTCTTTGTTCCACCCCACTACTTCCGCGATCATACAGAGCCTACCAGGCTACGCCGGGTGTTCGGGTGTGCGGGTCAAGATACAGCTCACCATGAGCTGTTATGGGATCGGTTCACACAGTTTTTGTCATATGGCACGATAATCTGGGTATTTTATGGCCTCTTCGAACAAGAGCTGGCTGAGGATATGATGAGTGCCACGGGCGAAAGCACGTGTAGTCACCGACAAGCGGATAATAAGAGAGGCATGGGATAGACTAATGGACCGAGGGACGCAAGGCATGTCGGAGCCTCCGTATGCTCAACATTTGCAGTGTACCTGGACACGCCGACCAGAATATACATATACATAGCTTAGTTAGGAGTTCTCAGGTCCTTGCAGGGAAGGAATAAAGGATGCGACACTGCAGGACAGGCTAGACACTTTTGGGAGGAAAACTATTCCGCATCGTATGAGGAGAGCTGAACATGCGCGGTACCCCCCGAAAGAGATTGCCCGCACACCGCGTCGTGTATGAACCACGATCGGAGGAGGAGAGACAGTAACTCGACTCCGGAGTAGATAGTTGAGGCTTTGGGGCGCACTCTGGCCTAAACGGGACTAGCGGCACCACATGGCAGCCTTAGGCAGCCGTAGGTATCCGCTCGGCCCAGAAAGGAAAGCGGATTAGTTATGGGGAGTGACTTATTCATCTAATTATTATCCACGAGCCATTCGATTCCCACCCCTCCGCCATCTTCGTCCCCTGTTGCCTTCCCTTCTTCTGATTGCTAGTTTACTTGTTTAATTCCCCGGGATCGGCCATCGCTGCCCGTCTATCTTTACACCCGTTTCTGCCCTTTTCCCCCTGTCCCTCTTTTGCGTGGTCCGGGGTTGAACTGGTTTCGATTGTCGGTCCTTCCTTGCCGACACCTCGGGTTGAGTCGTCAAAAAGTCTGCGTGGGCGATATCGGTGCATGGTCTCCTACGTAAGTCCCTTGCTCTGTCCCGGGGATCCTACGAGTTCAACTCTGGCTGTTGAGACTGGCGGGGACCTTGGATGCCCTCGTGGCTGGTCTCCCTCCAAACTCTGTGTGGTTCCGGGTGCCAGCGTTGGGAACATGACAACTGACTTGTGGGTGCCAATCCAGTGCGGTCAAGGGTCATCTCCGTATTGCTCCTCCACCCCCCCTCCTCTTCCCTCCGTATCCACGCCGACCAGACGGAACTGGCTATAGAGTATCGTGTTGGGGATAGGTTGGCCATCGAGGAATCATAACAAAAATAATTGGAGGGAAGGGTTGTCTCTAAATTAAAGCAAAGGGAACCATCCGGGGAACTTGCCGGGTTGGGCTACAAGGAGGCAAACCGCCATTCGGCTGTGGTTGTGGAGGTTGAGAGAGAGAGCCAAGAAACTGCCATCATGACTGCTACGCTGAGTATGTCTTTTACCAAGGATGTCTGTTCCTCCGGGGAAGTAGCGTCTGGCCTTGTTGGTGCGTACAATTGACGGGTTGTCCCCCGATGATGGATCCGCGAATTCCTGGGCGGATCTAGATATCAGGGTTCTGCTGGCTGCTCAGTTGCTGATACTGCTCACCTGCAGATGGGATGTTTAATTCGGCCCCAGATACACCGTCCCCTGTCTACCCGGATAGGCTCATCCGCCCTCTGCCCAAGCGTACCCTCCGCTCTCGCCTATCCTCTGAAGCGGCCGACTCGATCCTCTTCCCACCGGCCCCTCCTGCCACCCAGCTGTTCTACGGAACCTCTGTGGACAGCGCAGACATAGTAAATGACACCAAAGTGTATGTGCAGCAGAGCGACGGTCGCGATCAAAGCCCTGAGCGTGACCATTTGCCGTATGAGAATGGGGTGGAGCTGGAGAGCGGTGATGAGGATGGGCCTGTAGTTGTGCGTCGAAGTGCTGGTTTCCGCGGGTCGTCATTGTCCCCCTCGGCCGCTTCCAGTGCCCCTCCTCAGACGCTGCCCAGCAACAGTGAAGGGCCTCTAGTGAAGTCCTCCTCGGCGGGTCCCGATGGGTACGATGCGTTTGAGAACACCAACAACAAGAAGAAGCGCAAAATTCCTACACCAGGCAACCTCAGCAGTCACCACTCCACCCTCTCTCCAGAGTTCTCCAGCATGGGCCTCGCGACGTCTTTTCAGTCTCCTTCCACTGCTGGCGAAGGCAGCCATGTGAGTACCTTCTATGGCACGGGCAGCCCCGCGTCTCCGATCTCCAGCGGCATGTCCGGTGCGGGACGAGGTCGCCTTGGCCGCCAGCCGCAGCGTGGTAGCACGGGGAGGAACTCCTTATCGCTTCATTCTCCCATCAGTTGGCCTCGGACCCCTACGCGGCGCGATGGCCTGTTGTCGTCCCCGGGACCAGCAGGTATGTTTCTGTTGTGTGTCTGACCGAGTGTTCGGGCTTCGCTTACGCACGTTTAGGTGACTCCGCCCCGAAGCCAGACCAGGGCATAATCTCCGCCGCTATCGCCAATGCCGCCGCTTCAGCATTCTCCTCACCTCCTCCTGGACCCGGTCATGTCAGCATGCTCGAACGACAAACGCCTACGCCGACCAAGACTCAGTTCACCTTCACATGCGAGTCGGACTCGTCGAAAGGAATGGCTCTGCAGGCACAGAACCCGTACCCTGCACAGCATCGTTCACCCAGTGCTCTCACTGCAGCTGTCCAGAGCCAGCGGGGATATTCACAGGGCACCCAGACGATCCCAAATGCCACTTCGCAAGCCAACTCTTCAGGGGCATCTCAACAATCACAGCACTCGCAACCGCCACAACTACAAAATGCTGGGACTGAGCCTGCAGCCACGGGGAGGAAGAAGAAGCGGTCTCCGGGTAGCCTCTATGCTCTGGCCGCGCGTCAACGCAAGATTCAGCAGCAGTATGCCAACCTTCACCACCCGCCCAGCATCGAGGACATCTGGATTTGCGAGTTCTGTGAGTACGAGAGCATCTTTGGCCACCCGCCTGAGGCTCTCATTCGCCAGTACGAGATCAAGGATCGCAAGGAACGGAAACGATTGGCGGAGAAGAAGCGGTTGCTCGAGAAGGCCAAGATGAAGGGCCGTAAGGGCAAGAAAGCGACTAAGAATGCCAGCAAGCACGCAGCGGCCCAGCACGCAGCCTATGACCAAGGATACGACCGAGCGTCCGTGGATCATTCTTCAACCGGAGGACCAGGGGTGCATGATGACGAGTATTTAGGCAACGAGTACGAGGACGAGGGGATCCCAACCCCACCTCCAGCGCCTCCAGGTACCGTCAAAAGTGCACCACCGCCAGGGCATCCGCCCAAGCCAGCCGCAGCAGCAGGGTCGGGCGCTAAGAGTGCAGCGGACGGCGGGACAAGACCGCCCTGACAATGGAGCAACGGCTATCGAGCTAGCGAGCGGTGATAGGCCGTTGCTCACTCTTCCTTTCGGTTTTCTCTTTGTCTGTTTTCGATTTAATGCATGCTTACTTTCTTCCACAACTATTAATTTTTTCTTTTATTTCTTTTCCATTGCATGATTGTGTTAGCCTTCTGCTTTTCTTTTTGCCCATTACTTGCATGAATGAATCCCCGCTCCGGTCGATGAATGTCACGTCAGCGTCACACATGAATATTTCAGGTTCAGGTTGGAATTGTTGAGCAGCATCAATGCATATTGGAGAATATGATTGGATGAGAGGCGGATGGGATGGATGGACAGATGAGAATCAGGTGTGTTCGAGGTCTCGGTATTATGCATGCAGAGAGAACATGGATAGATGGATGGATGGATGGGATGGAACGAATTGGTGATACTATTTTAGTCCGTAGCGCTAATGTAGATCAGATCCCACGATGAGAGACGGGATGAGAGAGAAAGAAGGAAAGAAAGGAATCCATGTTCTGCTCTGTTGAAGATTGATCGTTCCACTAGCCGCCAAGCGTAACCCCAGACCTCCCTCCCGACCAACCCCATTCCAAACTCCGAAGCTCCAAGAAAGGCACGGCGCTTCGCCCACCAACCATACATACCACTTCCCCAATGATCAACGTATTTACCGTCCCTCTGCAGCCCTGAAACCATGATTGCATGAACTGGCGCGCGCCCTATACACAGCTGTCAATCAGTTACCCAGTTTCTAAAAGTAAGTATACAGTTTACCGCCGACGGGCATGGCAGTTTCAGCCCATCGACACGAACCAAGCTTGCGAGTGTGTAATTGGATGGATTAGGTTCTGCTGAACATGTTGATGAGGATGATAAAAATAGATGTTCTGGGTGTCTTGGTATTGGATTGATGGTTATATAAAGAGAGTGCAGAAGGGATGGGATGGTTTGGATAGCAGCAGAAAGCATTCTTTATTCTTTATTCATCACTCTCTATATTATTAAGTTATAAGTTCTTTCTTTGAGAATCTCCTTTGTTTAGACAGTGTCTATTGTTTCGACGTGAACAATCACTAATACTACTATCTACTCTCTACTATTGCCGTTTTTCTTCTCTCTTTGATTGACCTTACATACTACACACTTCTCGTTCGATATTTATCGTGATTGATCGTGATACTATCTTGCGCTGGCGCAATAATCTCGCACCTCAATACATACTACAACACACATACATATCTTCCTACTAAACAACCACAAAGCACCACCACCACACCCCAAAACAAAACCACCAAAATGTACCTCCTCGCCTTCCGCCTCATCCGACGCATCTTCTCCAAATCCAAGAACCAAAACCAAGACCCCAGCGGAATCAACCTCGACTACCCACCCCCACCTCAATCCAACATCCCCCGGCGCCCCCGTCTAAAGCACTACACAGAGCTCTTCCTCCACATCCTGCAAGCCGTCTTCGGACTAACCACCATAATCCTCTACGGGATCGACATCCACCACGCACACGAAAAGTCCGAGTCGGCAGATGCACGCTGGGTGTACGCCATCGTGACGGGGATGATGGGGTGCGGGACGGCGCTATTCTACCTGGTTATGATGCATTGGGTGTTGAAGACGCGGACGCCGTTGGCAATGCGGGAGAGGTGGAATCTGCCGCTGTTTGTGTGGGAGGCGGTGTTGTGCGTGTTTTGGTTGACGCTGTTTGGCATCTTTGGGAAGTTGTATATTGGGGATTATGAGGATAGTAGTATGGTGACGAGGATGAGGCGTGCGGTTTGGGTGGATTTGGTGGATTTGGTGCTGTGGGTGGGGACGGCGTTGTGGAAGGGGATGAGGTGGTGGAGGGGGCAGAGGGGGGTGTTTGGGGTTGATGGCGTGGAGGAGAAGGAGGGGGTTTAGGTGGGTTCCATTGGTTTGGAATTGGTTTGTTGGGGGGATTGGTGGAGATGTTGTAAAGGCAAAGGGGATGAGATGGGAGGAATGTGAGAGAAGAGGAACAGATGAGTTATGAGATTGGTGGGAGAATTGATGGATAATTATTGTATTTTGTATTAAGCACTGAGTGCATGCGTCGACGCATGAGTAATGTCTTGAGATCTTAAAAGATGCCCTTGTATCGCATATTGCATCTTTCTTTTTGATCGAGCTGTCATGTCAGTACTCGTTTTCTCTTATTCTACTACTCTCTAATCTCTTCAATGGGCTCTTCCGTCTCTTGCTGATTCTCTTCTCCCCCCTGCTGTCTACTTTGCTCGATCATCGCACTAAGCTGGCTTTGTCTGCGTGGCGTCGTAAAATTGGTCAACACTGGAGACACGTCCTCGTCCGTACTGCCCTGACTGTCAGTTGCAAACGAGTCATCATGGTTGGAAGGCCGCTGGAAAGGAACGGCAGAGCTTGGAGCCGTGGACGCCTTTCCGTGTGAGCCCCCAAACCGGGATGGGGATGGTGTGGCATTAGTGACGGTGCTGCTGGATTCAGCCCGTACTGGTTTGGGTGGTATCGTCTTGGGTTCGGTCTCTGGCTCAGGTACTCCTAAAGAAGAAACCAGGACTTGTTCCTGGCGTACTCGATCTGAGAATCGCTTTCGGAAGTTCTTGTCGACAAGTTTCATGCTAGATGGTTGCTCGTAGTTCTCCGCCGACAGATATCGTGCATCATAGCGGCGACATCCAGTAGCTGAAAAGAAGTTGGGTTCAGGTAGGGAAGGTTCGACTGCATAAAATGCTCTGCGACGTGGAGGTGGCGGCTTAACATGTGCCTCCTCTGGCCGATCCGTGTCGAGAAGCTCTCTTAAATCAGATAAAAACGAATCTGGGAGTTTTGGGGGCCTTTCAACTAGTACTTTTTCATCCTGGGCTGGATCTTTCTCGAGTATGTCGGCTGCAAAAAGGCCCTTTCCGGGAATTCTGGTCTTCGTATCTCTCAGGGATACGGCAAGGTCCGCACGAGATTCGCTATGGCTTCTTGTCAAAGGCTCCGTTTCATCCAGTTCATATGCACCAACGGTGGCCTTTGACGCTCTCCCAAGTTCCTGAATTGGTGGGTTTGGGGTATATTCCAGAGTCAGCTGCGGTGAGTCTGGTGGTGGACTATGGGCACGGGTAGAACTGGTACCAGACGACTGCTGTGAGGACTTGCGCCGCATGATCACAGGCCGACGCTTGCTACTCTTTGCCTTGCTAGCCACAAAAACCGCTTTCTTTTGCGTCTGTCGGGGCGCAGTGTCTGCCATTGTAGGCACTGATGGAGGAACCGGTGTAGGGGGATTTGATGGTTTGCGAGTGGTACTCTGACCGTCAATGTCCGTTAGGAGCAGACGAGTCGTCTTATGCGTTTCTCCGCTGGAACTTCCGTTTCTGGGCTTCTTGAGTATGGGGTGAAGTGGTGCCTTCCCGTTGTTACCGGCAGGCCTCCCGGAGCCCCCTTCATGGATTTCCTTGGATGACTGAGCTGCTTGAGCTGCTTTGGTCGCCTGTCAAAGTTAGCACAAGTTGCCATCGATGCCTACCTAGGCCGCGCGTGAGCCTCGCAATATCCCTCACCTTGCTCAACTGCACCAAACTAAACGGGTTGGGCTCGGAAATACGTAGGAACAGACTGGCCAACGTAGTTCCCAGGAGGGTATGGTTTAGACAACGACTCCCCCATATCCTCCAGAAGAAGTTCTCCAGCCTGTATCCCACGTCGTCATCATGCGCTGATGGATTGGCACTGTAGACTATTGCGCTATGAGACACATTGGATTCGCGACAGGGGAAGGCGCAGAAGAAACCCACCTTTCCAAAGCTGCACGACATCCCCAACATTCACCGGACCCACGCCATCCAGCTCCGTTGATACCTTTGTCGCCGTGGTCAGCAAGCCTTTGGGGAGACTTTCCATGGTGAGAGATGCCAAGGTCGCAGTCTAGCTCAAAAGTAAGTAAGGCCCCAACTCAGCTACATGATCAAAGGAACAACGAGGCAGAAGGTTCGCATGTGAGAGAATGTTGAGGTCAGTACCAACAGCACTGCCCGGTAGATGCTGTCAGTGTTGCGTCTGGCGGTGAATTGAGGGGCAGGGTCGCCCGCCAAACGCAGGGGGGGTGGGAGGAAAAGGGATCCTCCAGGAGGTAAAGTAATCGATCACGATAAATGGCTGGTAAGAAGAGGGCAGGCCAGCGAAGAAGCGAGTCAGGGGAGATTCTGTTGTATTTGAAGAGGGCGTTGGTTGGTGGGCGGAACTGGGGGAGGGATCAGCTGCAAGGGCAGGAGCGAAGACACGCCGGAGATCTTCAACCTGCAGGGCTTAATAGTCGTTGAGGCAAAAGATGGCCGCGTCCAGGTGACCCTGCCAGGCCCCATCCAGGCAACATCATCTCCCCTCTTCCCCCATTCATCCACTCGCTCCCCCCATTCCACTCACTCATTCATTCACTTGCGCCGCGCTGACTGCAGCCTGCAGGTCTGCATTCCCCAGGGGGGAGGTAAAAGTTGACCTGTCCGTTTTGCTGCCTTACCCCGGAGCTTGCCGATGCTGCCCAGTGAATGGGAAACAAAAGAAACCATCCGAGACAGCACAGGCCATCATGAACAATAGTGCCCAAAATGGGTGGATCCCGCACCTCAAATTCAGTGAACTAGCTGTGGTACTGACCCAAAGCACAAATGAGTCGTCACAGAAAGATGGATCACACTGTTCGTAACCATGGACATCAGCAGCCATCCAACTAGGACGGATGGAACCAGTGCTGCCATTCATTCTTGTCGGATTTCCCAGCAAACATCACGACACCCGCTGTTAGCGCCCCCCGTGACCAACGGCATCCAAAAGAACTCCCAATCGAAGGCCCCCGATTGGCTTCGGGACCGATTCTCTCTCCCTCATACTCCGGGTTGCCATCGTTCAAGGGGCTACACTGGCCAGGATCCAGGAAGAAACAAACAGACGACTGACGATTTGTTGGACCCCATATATATGACTAAGCTATGCGCATGGGAGGGAACGCAAACATTGCAAAGAGAACACAGCGGCCAACTCGAGGACACCGCGTGGCCCGAATTCCCTGCAGGGACTGGCTCCAGGGTCTCTTTGTTCTACAACACCCGTTCCTACACGAGATGAAGTCAGCTTACCTCGCGCAATCTATGTACCACCACCAACATGCCGATTCACTTGTACTGGGTTCGCGCAGTGCTACCCTTGCGGATTCGAGGCAATGCTGAGAGCTCTTTCCCGAAGGGATGAGAGTAATCCTCCTCTCGCGGTAAGCTGACAGCCACTCGGCGATGAATCTGCATTCTGATTCACACATATTCTCCGCTTTGGAGTCTCCGAGGAATGCAAGTCATCCCCACAGGCGCCAATGGGCTCGAACAAAAGCATAGTTATTGGTCGGGACTCTGATTTGACGTATTCCCAGGACTAACCAAGTCTCCCAACTTCGAACAGATCAATCTTCTCTACTCCCTTATGAAATCATATTGCGACCTATACTCTCCAGAAAGGTAGTATTGCCATCATTCCGCTCATGCTCCACGCAGATCAGACATTCCGATCACCTCAATTCCCCGATCTGACAACGATTGACATTGACCTCTTCGAAGATCCACCATTGAGAGAAGGGCTCCAGGACAAGCTCCAGAGTTGCGTCATCGAGTGTCACGTCCACACAACAATGGCTTTGGTAATCGACGATCACTGTCCTCAAGCACTGGAAAACCTGTCACATATATTCTATACATGACGTAGCATCACCACCTCAAGCCACAAAGCCAGTTCCATATAAGCTTAGCCCACATGCCACGAACAGGAATGCCCAGATTGTGAGGAATGGGTATTGCCCACTTTAAGGCTCGGGCCGTAAGAATTCAGTTCAATCTACAGGGATAATTTCTTGGTAACTCGCGGGGAAATCACAGCCGAAGATGAAGGTAGACCCCAGAATACACTTGGGGAGAAACAGTATCTGCTTCCACTGCAACACAGCATAATCCTTTCCAGTAAGTTTCACTCCATCCATTCTTGTCTAAAATCCAGCCGAGACAGATAATCCACATGTCCAGCCGCCAGCGAAGCATACCGCCAGACATCAGGATACATATCCACCCTATCCGAGATTTGCAGACTTTGATTTGCGAATGTAAAAAGTACCTTCAGCCGCACGGAATCTGCGTCCACTGAATCCTCAACGAGTCGCTGAAACAGGGCCGCTACGTAATCGATCTCTTCCCCTGTTACTGGCTCTTTCTCATATGCGGCTGTCCCGTCCAGGATGCAGATGACTTGTATATTTGGTGGAACCTGCAGAACGAGTCGTCTGAACAACTCACAGAGCGCTTTGATGTTGTTGCTCTCACAGGCGTTGAGGAAGCCTCTACCCAGAAATTGAAGGCTTGGTGTGGCAAGCTGGTCGCTGAAGAGAAGCTGGGTGATGAGACTTCGCATCATCCCTGTCGGGCCGCTGAGTTCGGGATCTTCTTGACCGTCGTGTAGTGATGCGAAGAAGAATAAGGGTAGGCAATCGGGACTGCTGACCAGGCTGTATATGAATGTTGAAACGAATATTGACATTGGAGTGACCATTATCGCCGGATTGGTATCCAGACGGCCGTCTACTAGAAGGAGTGATGATTGTGTGGCCCGAAGCCATTCAGTAAACTCATCGGTTTTGGCAAGCCATCGCACACGGCCCAGGTATGAAGATTTGAATCTACTGCCTTCTTGGAGGACGATCTCAAGGTCTTGGGCTGCGGTATGTGGAGAGACGCCTAAGATCCCGAGTAGTTCGATTGGGGTGACTGTTGTAGATGTTGAGTCTCGAGAATTTGTGCTGCTGAGTGAGAGGGATGATTGAAGAGCTTCGTTTTCATGAGCCAGATCCGAGTAGGCTGGTCAGAGATAGTTAGTATCATCAAAGTATGATGCGCGTAGAGCGACCTTACCGCGTTGCAAGAGAAAGATTTGACCCTGTTGGACCTCATACTGCTCCCGAGACTCCTTACATAGCGCCTTGAACTCATATAGTAGCTCTGTCATAGCCTGTGCACCAGATTGTTCTTTTTGAAAGGCAAAGACCTCGCGATACTCAGCTCCAACCTGCTTCTTCACTTCAGTGACCAGGTCTTTGATATCGCTGCGGGCTCCTTGGAGCTCCGTGTGAAGGGTCTGGATGTTGGTATTTGCTTCCAAGCCCAAGCGGTGCGATTCGCTGCTGTGATAGGCCGTCGCAGCAGTGATCTTGACCTTCATGCGCTCCAATCGCTCTTTGATGGTTACGAGATAACGGTTCCAGTCTGAAAGCACCTGGTCGACCGTGAGAGTCTCTCGGATTCTCAGAGTGAGGGACTCTGTGACCTTTCGGTACCCTGTAATCAAGTCCGTGAGCGAAAGACCATGTCAAATTGAGCAATTATGAACCCACATGGCTGCCTCTTCAACAAAACATCCAGCAATCCTGGCAATGTCCTCACAAGGGTTCTACAAAACTCCCTACACAATTCCTCGTCATCCGCTGTGGGGTTCAAGTAGTTATAGGCCGTCTGGATTGTCAGAACAGTTTCGGGAACGGTCTCGAATGCTTCCAAGATCTTGGCGCGATTTTCTACTCCTCGCTTCGCAGTCTGAGAATCATATGTCAGCAATCACAGTCTGTCGCCCATCTACCGAGATACAACAGATCTCAGTTACCTCGAATACTAGTCCCAACACCCCCTTGACAACACTCAGTCCATATTCGTCAGGTATGGCATCTTTCAAGGGAGCTAACATGCCAAGGCCCTGGACAGCAGTAGATGTATAGTCTTTGCGAGATGATGCCACATCCTTTGCTTCATCTAATGTCCTCAGAACCATCTGCCATGTGTAGTCATAGAATCTTGGCTCCTCCGGGGGCGCGATGGCATCATGATGCTTTAAAAGTGTTTCAAGATCTCTGGTGATGCATTAGACCATGCATACATTGAGCATCTGCATGCACATGTATCATTATGGATGGTCGCACCTAATTGTCGCCAGCTCGGCGGGAATGTACTTCTCTTGTTGCTCATCGAATTCGCTCTCCACCGCAAAGGCGGGGTGGAAGTCACGCCCCCGCTCCTCAATCCACGCCCGACTCTTTGCCGTCCCCGTCTTGTCTGCTGGGAGCGACTTTGGTTTTCGGCGAACATGGAAGAAGTGTGTCATATCGGGCGATGTTATGCATCCAGATGAAGACCTCCATAATCCTGCGGATCCCTGATGAATAATATGTAGAAATGGGATGGGGCGTATGTGAGTCTGTCCTCCCAGCTCTAGCCCTCTACCCGAGTCATGCTGCTATCAAACCTTCTGACTATGTTTGCTTTTAGATACGAGTTTCATAAGCCCTAGTGGCCGTATTTTCTAAGCTCACCCAATCGATGCATGACAGGTGTGAGCGCTTAACAATCAGCGCAATTAAACCATGTGGTTAATGCGTTCGTGAAGGAGGTGCTATGACGGCTTGGCCCCTGACGAATCCTTCGTGAGCACTAGTATAGATCCCGCGTCTGGTGACTGGTCGCATTGAGCTCATAATCCACTTCATCCCTCCTATCACTGTCTTCCATTTCTGCAGCCGCGCTGTGGCAGCGGCTTCCCCCGCCCCTTTGGCGTCGATACGAGGCACTGAAGATGCCTGATAACGAACTTATAAATCAGTGCGAGCAATGAAGTGGGTGAAAGCATTTCGGAAAACTTTGTCGGCTAGAGGAGGTTACCAGGCTCAGGGCACATCTGCGTGCGATGGAGGTCGTGAATCAGTCAGCGCCTTCGGAGCGTGTGCCGGCATCAGAGGAGGACGCCATAGATGGGTTTGGAGAGGCGGAAATACCTGAGGTTGTGACTGAAAAGCGGGAGGCCAGTACTCAGACTATCCAGGAAGATAATGAAGAGCGAAGTTCTCACCGTGAGGAGACGGACGATGACGACGATATTGATGAAGATGACGATACCAACGAGGAGGACAATGAGGAAGACGACAGCGACAGCGATAGCGACACGACAGACGATGAGAGCAAAGCCGATGACGATACGTGGCTCAATGGATCTGCTTTCAACGAGCGGAAAATCAACGTGGGCGTGAGATACTATGATTACCCATCCTTCATGAACCGGTCAGTGGACGACGATGCAGATTATACGATAGAAGCCCTGATCAGTACTTCCGACTGGTGGAAGGACCTGGAACGGGAAAAGAAAAGGCGCGCTGCGAATCCATCACCGTGGACTGAGACTATTGAGGTGGCACCGCCGACGGAAGGAGTTGCTGAGACCTTGCAACTCCAACGTGTGAGGATCCGCTCTCCAGAGATACTTCGTCGGCTTTCTGAACTCGGAGAGTGGAACGAAAGCAGCATGGTTCTCCCCAAATCCGATTGCGTATTCTGCCGTCCGTTTCACGCTCTCGCCTACTTTAATGGTGAAATAAAAAAGCAGCTGGAGCAATTAGAGTCTGACTTGGAAGACTCACACGCAAGACCTAAGCCCTCAGAAGACAATCAATTGGATGATTCGCGAAAAACTTCAGAATCTGCTATTCGGGACGAATTGCGATGCTATGTCACCTTTGTGGAAGAGAAGATTCTACCTCTTTGGAAGAGATTTGAACATGTCACCAAGAATACTCCGAACAAAGTCAGATATGACGAGCTGCCTTTTCTTTTCCGCCCGGGCGATCTTGTTTTTGTTCCATCTGTGGCCACCAGTTCCAAAGCACGTCATCAGTCTGCTATCCAGAATGTCTTTCGCCTGGCCTCACTCCGGCCCGAAGACCACATGTGGCAAACGGACCCAGGTGGCTGGTTCGTCCCGAATTCACTAGCGAGGTGGAGCATCTATTGTTTCGACCATGATGGAGAGCAGTTGAAAGTTATATGGCAGTCCCTAGAAGTCCCCCATTTTGCCGGCGAGCAAGATATCACTGCCTTGCCATGTTACCCTCTACGTTACCATCCTGATCATGCGACGATCCTTAAGATGCAGGTTGAGAGTGGAAAGCTTTTCAAGGAGCTCGTGAAGCCAGAGAACAAACATCAGTACTATTCTGGCTGGAACCTCTCAACAGGTATCTTCAAGGAGAGCATGGAGCTCGCTGAACCCGAACACATAGAAAGTGAGGTCATTATAGATGTGAAGGAAGCCTCGCGATACGTTACTGAGACATACCCCACCGACACTAAGCGTTATGAGGAGACGTTCCATGATTCATGGGCTACAGTTGTGGATGAAAATGTCTCATATCGGCTATGGAGAAAAGCTTCGCCCCATTTCGTCGAGAAAAACGAGAACTTGCTTGTCCGAGAAGATTTTACATATGCAAGGGAAGCGCAAGCCTACATGAAGCAGAACCCATACATTGATAACAATGACACATTCTCAAAACCAACATGGTCCGATGAAGATCTGGCCCTCCTTCCACGGAGAGTCCTTGGATACGTCTTACGCGAGAGGAGGTTCACGCGCTTGGATGTTCGCGGCTTTGACTTGCGTCGGGTATCTGAAGAGAGGATCACCCTAGACCATGTCCAGATAAAGCCTGGACATCGGAGGATCATCCGATCGACTGTTTCTTCTCACTTTACAAAGATCCACCATGAACGCTCTCGTGATGCCATATTGTATACACCGGACATGATCCGGGGAAAGGGACGAGGCCTGGTGATCCTCCTGCACGGAGCGCCCGGGGTGGGTAAAACTGCGACCGCAGAGGCCGTGGCATTGGAGTTCGAGAAACCTCTGTTTCCCATCACCTGCGGTGACCTAGGAATAACAGCGGATGCTGTGGAGAGATCACTCAAAGACATCTTTCGATATGCTCATCTGTGGGACTGCATTCTGCTACTGGATGAAGCAGATGTTTTTCTCACACAGAGAGATCGAACAGATGTTGAGAGGAACGCCTTAGTTTCAGGTATGCCCGTATACTTACCAATGGCTGGACCTTACTGACCTCATATAGTATTCCTCAGAGTGCTAGAATACTACAGCGGCATCCTCTTCCTGACCACAAACCGAGTCGGGGCACTCGACGAAGCATTCCGCTCACGGGTACATCTAAGCCTCTACTATCCTCATCTAAGCAGTGAAGATACCATTTCCATCCTCTGCAGTAACCTGGCCCGGCTCCCTCGAGCAGACAAGGTACCCAAGGGAACAAGCATCGGCAACGGGCATATCCATGTCATGGACAAAGAGATCATCGAATTTGTCCGATCGGAATACGAGAAAACCTACAGAGTCCACAGACGTGGCCCATGGAATGGTCGCCAAATCCGCAACGCTGTACAAATAGCATCCTGCCTCGCCTTCTTCGACCAGCGAGAAAAGACCCCGGGTAATGACCTGCCGGTAGTGCTCACCGCAGAACACTTCCGCACAGTGAACGACACAATCGAAGAATTCGACCGATACCTAGTCAAAGCCCGGCGTGCCGACGATCGCAAATTGGCCCACATGGAAGGAGTTCGATACGATGGGTACGAGTCCGGGCCTACTCGGGAACCTGCCGTATATGACGGTTTCAGTGGTTACGAGTCCGACCACGTCCCGGTTGAGCGAAACTCTCGACGCAGTGTGCCAGCCCGCACCCCTCAGCGACAGTCTCAGTATGCTGGCTCCTCGGGCGGCCGAGTCGCAGCTGGACGATACTCCGCTGGTCGGAAACGCGCGGTCATGGTCGAATCTCAGCATTATGCAGAAGACGACTTTTTAGATGACGATATGCATGCTCCGAGCCCCTCTACCGGGCGCAGATATGAAAGCGGACCAGGCCCACGTACGGAGCCTCGTTCCAGGGCTCGGCCCGGACCGTTACCTCGAAAAGATGAGGATGTGTACGATGAGGAGTTATATCCGGATGTCGAAGATCATGTTGTGGAAGAGGAGTACCGTCTTGCGGCGGACCCTGATGCTCCTAGATCCGCTCCTCGCAGCGTGAAAAGAAGCCCCAGATACACGGGTGATTACTCACCTGTGCCTGCTCGCAGGACTAGAGAGGCGACTCCCAGGTCACAGCATCTAGAGGTGGAGTAGAGCATTCCCATAGAGCATTCGTTTGCATAGCCGTACTATTCTACGCACCCAGATATCCCCTTATGGAAGCATTATTGTTGATCGTTTCATTAGTTATATTGCATTATATACCTATTATCTACAAACCCCCTTTTCCGTGATTGCTTTGATATAATCAACTGGTATATATATTGGCAGCTCAGCAATAATCATCAATCCTTCCCGCCCCAACCAACTGCATCACCTTGCCCCCCTCCGCAAAAACCAACAGATCATCCGACCCCTGCACAAAAGCAGGCCAGGCAAAATAACTCCCATTATTCGGATTCGCCGGCGCATTCCCAACAGCAAACCGCACCGGGCCCCGCGACGGATCCTCCACAAACGAAAGCCACAGTGCTTGCATAGCATAACTCACGTCCCACTCATACTGCGTAGAGGGGCCACCATACTCATAATGCGTACCGAAGAGAATAGGGAGCTCCGCGCTATGATACGCTCCGAACCAAGGTAGGGGTGAGATATTGGTGAAATTGCCTGCGTATTGGTACCGGTAGGTGGTGAGGTTTGCTAGATTGCGGTTCTTGACTTCCTCTGCGACGGGACAGGCGATAATTGATTCAGTTATTTCGAAGAGTGTGGACTTGCTGGGCCCCGCTGGGGTGAATGATACGAAGCCGGCGCCTTCGTTGGTGTTGCTTCCTGTTATCAGGGGCTACCCAAGGGGAAGATGATAGGTTAGCTGGTGATTATTGCTAAGGGTATGGGAGTTGCTTACAATTTTTGCGACCTTTCCTTCAATAGCACGCTCGGTCCAGTTGGCGAAAAAGGTCTTGTTGTCGACGGCTGGTGTGAATGAGATGGATGGCGAGCCGGAGTATGTCGAGAGAGCGGTTTGCAGTTTCCGAGCGGACACGTTTCGCATGCAGCTGAGTTCTTCGGTGGATGAGAGTCCGTCGCAGCCTACTAGGCTCGCCAGGAATGTGAAGTTGGTGTGTGCGTAGTCTTCGTTGTCAACTATATTTGGAGCACCGGAGTCGGCTATGAGAGCGGCGACAATGGGGTCTTCGGGATATCCGTATGAGTAGGCTGTTACGCTGGCTGCTCCGGCGGATTGACCCCATAGGGCAATCCGTGCGGGATCACCGCCGAAATTGGCGATGTTGGCTGCGACCCATTCGACTCTGCGGGTATGGTGGTTAGTTTGGGCTTTTTCTTGGTTTGACTGAAGTGGTGGACTTACGCCAATCTTTGGTCGAGTAAGCCGACGTTCGGCTCAGATAGCCCTTCGGCGTTCGGGAAGCCGAAGACATTGACGCGATAGCTAGCAGGAGTTAGAAAAAAAGCATGGGATTAGTTGATAGGGCTGGCATTTACTTCATGATGACCACGATGTGAGCCTGAGTCCGTTGCACCCATTTGTCGGGGATTTTGTACAGCGACGCTTCCCCTCCAGATGTGAACCCACCTCCGGGGATATAAAGCAGCACTGGTAGTGGACGCTGCTGTGATTGAATGTTCTCAATGCGAGGTGCCCAGATTGATAGGTACAGACAGTCCTCTGAGTCTCCTCCGCTGATGAGAAATCCCGTTTCATAGGTAGTGTATATCGTGGAGCTATTGCTTGTCTGCTGGATACATGATGAGGGGAGTGCAAAGGCGTTGACTGTACCATTGGGCTGTTTCTTCACGGGGCTACTAAAGCGGAGGTCACCAACTGGTGGCTCTGCAAATGGGACGCCAAGCCATTGTCGAACATCAGGGGCTGTCTGGTTGAAGAAGCCTTGTATAGGGCCGCTGGAGGTTTGGACTAGGAGTCCTTCCCCGTTTGTTTCTCTTGTAGCTGAAGAAGTGGGAGCAGCTACACAATGAGAGACGAAAAGCGTCGCTATAACGGAGAGACGCAAACGCATCTTGGAATCGAAATTGGGTTGGGCGGTGGCTCCTGTTGAATGAGGGGCGAAAAGGAGACTGCTTTTATACCTCTCTATGAGGACCACGGTAGCCCCTCAGTTGCGCGGCAAAGCGATTCGGCAGACGGACAAGACCCTTCGAGGGTTCGTGAAGAGGATAAATGATACAACACCTCGCTTCTGCAGGCTAAGGGATAAGCCGCCAAATAGTTCCCCGGACGACCCCAGATTGCGGGGTCGGAAATGCCGAAGCCAGGCTTCCTCTATATTTGAAGCTTAAACATCTTGTAAGTAAAACGACTAAAGCTTTCATGTTGCGATTGACATAGTATATAGCGGTTCTGTAACAAGCATATCTGTATATGCTAGTGGGAATAATGGTAGCGTTGAGGGGGCATCCATGGCTCGCCACCATTAATCTCGGGCTCGCACCGGCCCGTCTGCCTTGTGTACCAAAAGACGTATACACGTTGAACCCAATGAATTTGTTAAAGCAGATACTTCCAATTTAGCATCATGAATTCGCTTCGGTGAATCCCTGCTTGGACCCTGCTGGTGGGATGCGGAGGTCAACTGGGATGTGCGTGTGCGGGGTAAATCTGGGGTAAACTTTCCCCCAACCGAGGCAGGGAACTGATGAAAATCGCCGCCTTGGACTCGGTTGAACATTCTACCTCCGGCCATCATCGTCAGCATTCAGAGACCTTGAGGGGTATTCGATAACTCAGATGCACAGTTGAGCCCTACCGGCTGTCCATCGAAGCTTGAGTGAGCTAGTGAGTGAGCGAGGGTTTGCTTTGAAACAAGAGGCTTACGTATGGTCATCATGCGCCATCGCACATTGGTATGATAAGCCTCCTGGTCTATAGCACAAATATCAGGCTTACTTCAATGGAGGGCCTGATATCACTGAAATTCTGCCTCAGTAAGCACGTATGGAAATGTCTAGCATTGACACAATATGGTTTGGGAAGTATCCAAGAGAGTGTTCGGAAGCGGGACCTTGCCGCTAATAATCCTCAGCAATTATCAGGTTCAGTCACCCTGATTCATCCTGTCTGTACCAGCGTGATCTTATAGTCGGCAAAGACAAGACCCTTCAGTGGGTAAGTGTTTCGCGATGCGGTCTAACAAAATAGACGGAAATGGCTGCCTGACCTGGAAGACCTCAGACCTCAGGCACCACACCCTGGCTTAACCTTCCTGATTGGGATAAGCACAACTGCTCCACGACACCCCATATCCATGAACCAAGCTTTACTGAATCGGGATTCCCCGCCTCAGTGAGTGTCATCCGGGTTGCCTGATTGGGAAGACCGCCCATTTCCCAATCTCACAACAAAGAAGACCTTGCTGGAAAAAAGCCGGTTGTGTCGGCGAATTTCCTGATTTTGGTTAATCATCGGTTAGACCAAGCAAACTGAGGGGGCTGTAGCCTTTTCTTGCTAGCAGCTATCTCAATGAGTTGCTGCAAGTTTGGCTAATTGTCGAAGCTTGGTTGTCGACATAAGCCGAAGTTGAACATATTAGCGAAGCTGTAGCAATTAGTGCTGTGCTCTGGAACTTTGAAAGGGTGTCTTTTAGCTCAGCCCCTTCTTCATACAATTAATGGGCTTGTGGTAATCGTAGGTGTGCAGTATTACGGTTGTGTAACCACTCAGCAACAGCGGCGCTGCACAGCGCATTGCTACATAGTGTTGCTTATGAGAACTGATAAGACCGCTCATACAACAGTGAGCCTTGAACATTTATGTGTTGCGCTGCATTATGGCATATTCTACTCCCGACACCGCATCAACATTGTCGATCAACGCTTTTACTTCGTGCATTAAACTACCCATTTCCGACAGTAAAATGGGAAAAAGGCTTGGGCTGTGCCACTATTGCTGTCCATCGCTGGCATTTACATAGTCAAGGAGCATTAGACTTAAATAAGGTGCGATCGAGAGAGGAGAATTCTGAAGAAAAAGATCAATAGGGTCTTCCGGAAAGAAAGTTTCGAAACCTTGTAGAAAGTACCCGAGAAACATGACCGCCAGGGCAGATTTTTATGATTTTATGGAATAAATTCTGCACCCTACTCTTCTCTATACATAAGCCTCGGAGGCAAAGTTAATACAGACAGTTCTTTTATCATGTTCGTCAAATAAAGAACTTTCCACTACATGATGAAGACCGGCCTTCATACCGAGCAAAGGGCAGAGTATGAGCAAAGACCAAGACGGCAGATTCTCGGACTTGGTGTCACTAAATCGGTCTTATTCTGGGACTAGCACGGCCGAGTAGGGTATAGGACGTCTGACTTGGACATGCAATGAGGTAAACAGCATTGCATGAAGGGGAGAGGGGCGGCGCTCAAAGATTTATCCACGGTGGTGCATGCCGCTGCACACTATCTCGAATTACATTGCAGTCGTACTTCTATAGTGTCAATTAGTGGTTGCGTCCTGCATAGTGCTCATGGTCTGACACTGAGTACATTAGTCCCCTTTCAAGACAACTGGACATCCTCGGTCTGAATGCGCTCGGAGGAATTGCGATGGGAGTGGGTAAAACTGGTTCAGCCCACAGGGAAGCAAAATTACCGCCATCCCACGCCCAAAGCCTCAACATTGAGCTTGTCTGGTATTTTCGAGACCGGCTAAAACAGTCTTGGCGTTTCTGAACTGGCTTTTCGAGTCCGGGTGATGGAGGGCCTCACCATGCACGATGACATTCTACCGGAACCTTATGTTCGGGACTGGCTATGGCGACAATGAGAAAAATGGGATACTACACATGACCTTAACTTTACAAGGGAGAGCTTGCTGACTCGAAAGTTTACTCCGGACAAGATAAGTAATAAAGCGGACAGCTTATACGCCCTGTGAAATAAGCAATTCCGCGGCACATCGGCAAAGTCAACTGGGTACTTGGTGGGCGCGCGATTATTAAATGCCTCGGTGGCGTTGGGTCATTCGACGGTAGGGAGAGTGCCACGCCGACAACAAGCAAGCTAAGCATTTCCAGACTCCATTGGAAAATCTCCGGGACAAGAAGGAGATCAAAATCTGACTTCCCGATCGGACCACTCGACTTGCCTTGCGCTCCAGTTGCCCGGCTTGGCTGGTAGTAATGCTTTTCCCACACTGGTGGGGAAAGTCCCGTGGAGTCACGCGGCCCCCCCAAATTCCAACATCAGCGCGCCATGACATCTTCCCTCCCATGGCCTGACCGCTCAGATGCCTTCCCAGCTCACCTCTCTCTGCTTTTTCTTCATCCTGTCTTCTTTCACTAGGCCCCCTCGGATGCATCGAGGACTAATTGTGACTGGGTAAGTCCTCTGCCAGACTCTACTAGTTTATGATTTCATCCCGCGTCCGGTGTAATAACCTTAGTATAGCCGCTTCCCAATCAGTCGCCCAAGTTGGGATTTCTTTCAGACTGGGGTGGTGGGCCTAGGGCTCGGACAACATCCGTTGCTCGCACCCCTCGGATAATGGATTCCAATTTCTAAGACACAATACAGTCAGTAACGTGGGCCTGGCCTGTATCGAAGTGCCTGGACGCGGGGCTAAAGCCTGGGGTGCTTATTGCGGAGATAATAGGAACCACGGTTGGCGTGCCCCAGGACAAACTGGGGCTCTAATTGGTGGCCGGGTAGCGACTGGAGCTAGACTAACAACCACCCCGGCTGTTGGAGAGTCGCCGCGCTAGCACCAAGACCAATCAGCGAGTGCTTTGCATAAGATCCAGCCATGTGGCGACTGGTGGGATATCAGACACGTTACAAAGCCGTACACCGTACGGCCCAGGTCAGCCCGAGCATACCACTACCCCGGTGAGAAGCTGTGGTATCTTTCTCTCTCGGCCCTGGTCCCCCGTGCGGAGTATTTTGTACTAACCAGGGGGTCCGCTATGTGACTCGCACATCGGCATCCGCCTTTCACTTGCATGCGGGCCCACGGCAGGCCTCTGGACGTCATCTCGACCAGCTCGGTCGGCAGCAGTCCGGTCTCCATTGACCGGAGAGGCGGATTGATCATCAGCCCATGTAGAGCTTACAGAAACCCCTCGACTGATTGCTTTCGGGCTAGCTGTTGGCCTGTTTCTTTTTCTATGAGCAAGCCCCCGGACTTGAAAATGGCTGTTTCTCTCTCCCTCCATTCTCCTTTCCCCTTTTCTACCTTCTGCTGCCTTTCCTGCAAAGCCAAAGTCCTTGTGGTACAGGCAATTCGGCACAATGCAGGGCCAAGCACTTCGTTATGCCCAGATCTTCTTAGTCGCTTGTCCTTCCTTTATCCTTTTCGGTTACAATCAGTCCGGTGTCGGAGGACTCGATGACTTCCCCTCCTGGGTGAGGGTATTCCCGGAGATTGACACAGTCAACACTACTGGGGCCCAAGAGTCTCACAATGCCACCGTTCAAGGAGCCGTGGTTGCGTCGTACACAATAGGAGCCCTCTTCGGGTCCCTGATCTGTACAATGATCGGTGACATGCTTGGACGTCGCCGATCGATCTTTTCTGGCGCACTCATTGCATTGATCGGTCAGATACTGGAATGCACCGCCTACTCTCTAGCTCAATTCGTCGTTGGGAGAGTGATTTTGGGTTTTGGTGTTGGCATGCTCAGTGCGACTGTACCTGTCTGGCAATCCGAGTGCGCGCCTGCCGCCCAGCGAGGACGGAACGTGGTGTTGACAGGCATGTTCATCGCGTTTGGTTTCGCTTTGACGCAATGGGTGAATTTCGGTTTCTACCACATGGAGAATTCTCCTGCCTCATGGAGAGCATCACTTGCCATCCCCGCCTTGTTTTCGTTCATAATCATGGGCAGCATCTTCTTCCTTCCAGAGTCGCCGCGTTGGCTCGTCATGAAGAACAAATCTGACGTGGCACAATTTACTTTAGCGTCTCTGAGAGGACAAGAAGTAGACTCGTTGGAGGTTGTCGCAGAGCTACGGGCTTATGAGCTTTCTCTGGAGGAATCCTCGAACAACTCACTCAAGCTCCGAGACA